TCATTGTGATATATAGGTTTGAAAAGCACCATCTGGACGCAGGTATTCCTCACATCTTATTGCTAGGGGTACTGATTTCTAGGGCTGCCTAAAATATCACTACAAATTGGGTACTTAAAACAACAGAAATGTAGACTTGTATTTCTGGAGTCCAGAAATCTGGGGTCATGTGTCAACAAGACAGTGCTCCCTTGAAAGGCTCTAGGGGAAGAATTCTTCCTGGTCTCTCCCTCGTTTCTGGTGATCACCAACAAGCCTTGGATTTTCTTGACTTGTAGCTATGTTATGACAATAACTGTTTCCCTTTCCAAGTATCTTTCTTCTTCTGTGTTTTTTCCTTGCATCTTCACATGACCTTTATATAAGTTTTTATAAGACACCCATTTATTACATCTGCAAAAACCTGATTTCCTTTATTTGTATATATGTGTGTATATAAATATATATGTATATATATTACATCATACTTCATTTTGTACCTTTTTTCAACTTAGTGGTAACACCCGTGGACTTTCCACCACCAATTCACCCATGTGCCATCACCATAGTCCCTGTGCTCTTCCCACTCCAGTTTCAATCCTATTTCCTTCTCCACTACCTAAATCAAGTCACATGCTGAAATTCTGCTGGACATAAATTTTGGGGGAGCTCTACTCAACGCAGTATTCTAGGAATATTGCCCAGAATCATCTTAGTCCTTTCCAACTAGGTGGCCACTGAAAGACAACTACCAAGATTACAACTGTTCTATCTAGGATGAGTCATAATTCCATTTTAGCAATCAAATCTAAGAAAGTAATCTCACCTACATAAAGACACTTTAGGCAAAGAGTTAGGGCAAAGCAACACTGTTCCATACTGCAAGCTTGAAGATAACCAATATTTCTAATAATATGAGAATGGTTAGGTAAAGAAGCTACATCTATATATAATGGACTACAAAGTAGGATCTAAAATTAACATGCAGTATTTAATAATGTGCGAATTTTGTGTCTATTAACAGGTAAAAATATATTTTATAACTATTGTAATTATGTTTCTAAAAGAAGGTAAATCTCAAAATAGTATATATAAGAAAAATGCTGGCAAGTTATTCACCCAATATCAGCACCTTTGTACTTAAATGTTAGAATGGTCTTTCTTTGCTCCAATTATATATTTCTGCTTAACAGACAACTATGCAATGTAGTAGCTTAAAATAACAATGCTCATTTATTTTTCTTATTAATCTGCAATTCAGGCAGGACTTTGTGGGTGCTGGCTCATCTCTGCCCCAGGCAAGAACAGCTGATGTGACTCAACTGGGCCTGAGGGATCTGCTTTCCAAGATGGCTCAATAACATGTTGGAGCTGGCTGTCAGCTGGGAGTTCAGTTGGGGTTGCTGGCCAGGGTCCTCAGCTCTTCTCCAAGTGGGCCTCTGTATGGGGCTGCTCGAGATCCCTCCCAGCATGCAGCCAGCCTGCAACACCAGTATCCCAAGGAAGGAAGCAGAAGCTGCAATGATTTTGCCTGGTAACTAGCACAGCACCCCTTCTGTTGTGTTGTGTTAGCCAAGCTATCACAAAGCCCCTCCAAGGTGAGGAGTGAATCTTGTGGATGGGAGCAAGGTCAAAGAATGTGGCCATTTTAATCTATCATTTTCTGGACCAATTCTACAATTTATTCTGGATTTCCAATGTACAACCTACATGGGGGATCATTTCACCTTCCCTGTGCAGGCTTCCATGGTGCCCCCCGGCAGACACTCCCCATAGTCAAAGCTAACAGGAGTTTTCAGGCAAAGGAGGAAAGATAAATTTTCCAGGTGAAGGAGGTGCAAAGAACTACTGACACAGCCACTGGGTGACTCCAATCGGAGGATGAAATAATAGGTTTGGGTTTTAAAGAGTTAATTCTGAAAGTAGAGTAGTGTGTGTGTGTGTGTGTGTGTGAGAGAGAGAGAGAGAGAGAGAGAGAGAGAGAATGAGAGACAGAGAAAGAATGTGTATGTGAGAGAGAAAGAGCACGAGAGCAAGAACAAGAGAGGG